CTTCCGAACTTGCCCCCAGCTGGTCTTTAGTGGCTGAGAACCGACCTGTCTCTGGGGATGCCGTGTCAGTCCGGTCTTAGTTTGAAATGATGTTTCGAAGAAAAACTTGAGTGACGGCGAGCCCGCTGGCCACGTTTCACTGCTCGGTGTCTGCTTAGACGTGACTCGCGGTTTTACTTCGTGTCGCTTTCTTCACGACCTAGAAGCTAGCATCACCGGGTCCCCGCCCTCTACACCCAAGCGCTGCTGAGTCGGAGTGGCAGCGGTGCAGCTGGCGGAGCTCGCAGCGCCCAGTCCTGGGCTGGACGGTCTACTGCTAGGCAGCCCCGCACCTCCGGGGAGTGCGAGCCGCTCACTGCCGTCCTCCTGTGCCCTACCGCAGGAAATGCTTGCTTCTGATGTTAAACGAGAACCAAGTGGGAGAGAGGACAGAAAACACGGTACGGACTAATTAGCCATCTTTTTCACGCCGCTCCATTTTGACTCAGATTTTAACTTCCTAAGGACAGAACTGATGGAGAGACCAGCGAGTTAAAACACAGAACAGCCTTTCTAGATGCGTAATTAGCTTCCGGCCATTAGCAAGCAACCACTCGGGCTATTCGTCTATCCCTGGAGTGTCCAGGCTCTACTTGGGCCTCCCTCGGGGTCCTGGTGACGTGGAAGCTGTTTCTGCATCGCCCCTTCTGCGTGGTGGCAGCGCGGGTCCGTGGGCCTCAGGTGACACTCGGCACACCAGCCGCCTGGACCTCAGGCCTGGGTAAACACGGTGTGCCCTCTTTCGCTCTGCCTGCTCTCTCCAGCTGTGACAAGTCTCCTCGAGTGTGGCGCTGAAGGTGTGCAGAGAAGGCGCGAGTGGTGACCAGCCTCCTGCTCGGCAGCCACCTGGGACAGATGGCCTGCTCCCTGCGTGCGCCTGTGTGTGTGTCTGCGTGTGCACTTGTGTGTGCCTGTGTGTGCTTGTGTGTGTGCGTCTGTGTGTGCCTGTGTGTGCGCGTGTGTGTGTCTGTGTGTGCGCCTGTGTGTGCCTGTGTGTGTGCCTGTGTGTGCGTCTGTGTGTGCCTGTGTGTGCGCGTGTGTGTGTCTGTGTGTGCGCCTGTGTGTGCCTGTGTGTGTGCCTGTGTGTGCGTCTGTGTGTGCCTGTGTGTGCGCGTGTGTGTGTCTGTGTGTGCGCCTGTGTGTGCCTGTGTGTGTGCCTGTGTGTGCGTCTGTGTGTGCCTGTGTGTGCGCGTGTGTGTGTCTGTGTGTGCGCCTGTGTGTGCCTGTGTGTGTGCCTGTGTGTGCGTCTGTGTGTGCCTGTGTGTGCGCGTGTGTGTGTCTGTGTGTGCGCCTGTGTGTGCCTGTGTGTGTGCCTGTGTGTGCGTCTGTGTGTGCCTGTGTGTGCGCGTGTGTGTGTCTGTGTGTGCGCCTGTGTGTGCCTGTGTGTGTGCCTGTGTGTGCGTCTGTGTGTGCCTGTGTGTGCGCGTGTGTGTGTCTGTGTGTGCGCCTGTGTGTGCCTGTGTGTGTGCCTGTGTGTGCGTCTGTGTGTGCCTGTGTGTGCGCGTGTGTGTGTCTGTGTGTGCGCCTGTGTGTGCCTGTGTGTGTGCCTGTGTGTGCGTCTGTGTGTGCCTGTGTGTGCGCGTGTGTGTGTCTGTGTGTGCGCCTGTGTGTGCCTGTGTGTGTGCCTGTGTGTGCGTCTGTGTGTGCCTGTGTGTGCGCGTGTGTGTGTCTGTGTGTGCGCCTGTGTGTGCCTGTGTGTGTGCCTGTGTGTGCGTCTGTGTGTGCCTGTGTGTGCGCGTGTGTGTGTCTGTGTGTGCGCCTGTGTGTGCCTGTGTGTGTGCCTGTGTGTGTCTGTGGGTGTGCCTGTGTATGCCTGTGTGTGCTTGTGTGTATGCCTGTGTGCCTGTGTGTGCGTCTGTGTGCGTATGTGTGTGTGCCTGTGTATGCCTGTGTGTGTGTTCCTGTGTGCGCCTGTGTGTGCACCTGTGTGTGTGCCTGTGTGTGTTCCTGTGTGCGCCTGTGTGTGCCTGCGTGTGTGCCTGTGTGTGCGGAGACAGAAGTAAGTCGGCACACACACCTGCCGTCCATGGGAGGCCGAAGCGGCAGCTGTCTGAGAGCCGCGGCTGTGGATGGCCAGGAGGCAGGTCAGAACAGGTGACAGACCCGTCCTTCCTGGAGGTCAGGCCTGGCGAGGAAGCCGGCCCTGGGAACCTGCTCGTGAGCCCTGAGGACGGCTGTGAGTCAGGCCGTCTTGTTTATTTTTTTATGCCACAAGATATAAAGTAAACTGGGTTAGGAAAACACATTTTGCTGCATTTTGAGATTTTCTCATGAACCAGCTGCGCCTTTTTTCTTTCTCTTTCTGTGTGTGGTTTCTACAAAGAGCTCGAGAAGCTGCCCAGCGGGGTTTCGCTCTGCCATGTCCTCGGCTGGACCGCTTTGTATTCAGGCTGTCCGACAGTTCAAAGGGAACGCCAGGCCTGGCTCTCGCTGAGCGTGTATGAACAGCCCCCAGCTTTGATGGCAAAACAGGGTCCAGTTCTAGCGAAGTCGCCGCCCATCCTGAAGCCCCACTAAGAGCGCTTAGGAGGGAAGCGATCTGTCTAACGCCCACTGGAGGAGCACTCCAGGCGAGCAGTACGCACGCAGGACCCCACACGTTTCATGCTGTAAACAGAGAAGCTCTCCCTCGTCATGAGTGTACTGCTTAGAATGCACGCAATGTTTTAAAATGCTAATCTTCCAAAAAACTTACAGGAATTCCATCAGCACCGGGGAATCCAGAAACTCCTCTTGGTCCCTGTGAAGAAGGGAACGACTTAGTGAAGGCCAAAACCCCGCCACCCTCCCAGAGCCGGGGCTCGGCCAAGGTGCGTACCACGTCTCCTTTGGGTCCGGTTGTTCCAGGGATTCCTCGTTCGCCCTTATCACCTTTGCGGCCCTGCAGTCCTGGGAATCCTTGTAAGCCTGGAGGTCCGCTGTAGCCCTGGGGGCCCACTGGCCCCGGCTGACCCTGTGGGAACAACGTGTGTTCAGTTTCCACGACTAGTAACAATGGACGTGCATTTTCACGGTTACTTCTGAAGCGGCACTTCTCATTCCCAAGAGCGTAAGCGCCAGAGAACATTACATGCAAATGGCCGGTCTCTGCCGACAGCTAGCAGTGATTTCTGCCTGGAAAAAGAAGTTCCATACTTTAGGGAAAGGACCAGCCAATGGTGTGCCAGATGGCAGAGCTGGAAGTTGCACAAGGGCCAGGGTTCAAGTCCCCAGCTGTCCACTTGAGAACACAGTGGGAGCATGGGCACGAGTGCAGAATCCTGGCAGACTGGAGGGCTGGAGGAGGGGACAGAAGAGAGACCAAGCCCTGTGAAGGGTGCCCCCACTCCCCATGTGTAAGTGTGCTCTATTGTGAAGAAAAACAACAGAATTCTGGCCAGCAGGTGGCGTGGTAGTTAAGACGCTGGATCCCACGTGGTTGACTATGCAGTTTGAGTTCCGGACACAGCAGCTTGAAAAACACTCCAGGCGCGTGTGCGTGTGCGCCACAGATCCCGAGAGGAGCATGGAGGAGGGGCTGTGGCGTGGCCATCCCCCGGGTTGGGATGGGAAAAACCAACTTACTCGGCTTACTTCATCTCTGTTCAGTTACACAAGGGGGCTCCAAACAGATTTCCACACGCTGTTCCCGCTTTTCTGGATACGATGTGCACAGTTGGAACGGAACTGCTTAGTGTAGCCAGATACCAGAATGACCCCAGAGAGTTAGTGAGGAGTACCCTGGCCCTCTGTTCACACGAGCGGAAAAATGACGGCAAGCGTGAAACATGAGTGCATTTCCACACTTGTTAGGTGGTTATTATGTTTTTAAATCAAAACAGTAAGCGGTGGCGAGGGCGCGGTGGGCCGCTGGGAAGGAAACGGGTGCGGCCGTGGAGGACAACGCTAGGTTGTCTCTTTGGACAGTGAGGGGAGAGGAGTGCCACGGGCCCAGCCCTTGTAAGCCTGGAGGTCCGCTGTAGCCCTGGGGGCCCACTGGCCCCGGCTGACCCTGTGGGAACAACGTGTGTTCAGTTTCCACGACTAGTAACAATGGACGTGCATTTTCACGGTTACTTCTGAAGCGGCACTTCTCATTCCCAAGAGCGTAAGCGCCAGAGAACATTACATGCAAATGGCCGGTCTCTGCCGACAGCTAGCAGTGATTTCTGCCTGGAAAAAGAAGTTCCATACTTTAGGGAAAGGACCAGCCAATGGTGTGCCAGATGGCAGAGCTGGAAGTTGCACAAGGGCCAGGGTTCAAGTCCCCAGCTGTCCACTTGAGAACACAGTGGGAGCATGGGCACGAGTGCAGAATCCTGGCAGACTGGAGGGCTGGAGGAGGGGACAGAAGAGAGACCAAGCCCTGTGAAGGGTGCCCCCACTCCCCATGTGTAAGTGTGCTCTATTGTGAAGAAAAACAACAGAATTCTGGCCAGCAGGTGGCGTGGTAGTTAAGACGCTGGATCCCACGTGGTTGACTATGCAGTTTGAGTTCCGGACACAGCAGCTTGAAAAACACTCCAGGCGCGTGTGCGTGTGCGCCACAGATCCCGAGAGGAGCATGGAGGAGGGGCTGTGGCGTGGCCATCCCCCGGGTTGGGATGGGAAAAACCAACTTACTCGGCTTACTTCATCTCTGTTCAGTTACACAAGGGGGCTCCAAACAGATTTCCACACGCTGTTCCCGCTTTTCTGGATACGATGTGCACAGTTGGAACGGAACTGCTTAGTGTAGCCAGATACCAGAATGACCCCAGAGAGTTAGTGAGGAGTACCCTGGCCCTCTGTTCACACGAGCGGAAAAATGACGGCAAGCGTGAAACATGAGTGCATTTCCACACTTGTTAGGTGGTTATTATGTTTTTAAATCAAAACAGTAAGCGGTGGCGAGGGCGCGGTGGGCCGCTGGGAAGGAAACGGGTGCGGCCGTGGAGGACAACGCTAGGTTGTCTCTTTGGACAGTGAGGGGAGAGGAGTGCCACGGGCCCAGCACATGCCCTACGGCAAAAATTAAAAAAAAAAGAGGTCTGTCTCGCGTGCCCTTAGCCTGTGGTTTACTCGCCACGCAGCACCGGTACTGTTCAGCCCTATTAGCCTGGACATTCCAAATTCCTGTCTTGCTCTGGGTTGAGGGAACACTCAGGCTCTTATTTCGAGCCTTTTCTTCCCTTGCCTGTGGGTCACCTTTCCTGTACGAGCGGGCCAGCTGACGACGTCTGTCTTTACAGAATGTTAGCGCTGATCTCAACGCTCCACCTGGTAGACGTGCCGTGAAGCATTTCAAAATGCGGCCCAAGCTGTGTCGTACTAACAAACATCATTACGGAATTAGCATAGGGAGGTGGCGGCTTTGCAAGCACCTCTGCTGCCGGCTCGTTCAGATGTTAGACCCCAGGCATGAGGGCGGGGACACTAAGATGATCCTTTAGCGTGGGAGTTAGCCCTGAAGGGTAAGATTACGGTGAGTGGCAAGGCCGTGAGGCCCCGCTGCTCCACAGCTTGGGACCCTTGCCTCTGCACATCGAGCTCCCTTGAGGCTCCGACTCTGGGCGAGTCAGCATGCTAGAGATAGCGTGTCTCCTCCTCTCTGCCCCACGTTCCAGAACAGCCGACTGAAGCCACAGTCAGCCAGCGCTCCTGGGCACCTGTCTGAGACCGTATGTGGCGGCACACCCATTTAGTGAGTTTGAAGAACATTCTGGGATGAGGCCGTTGCCACTGGCTTCTTGCTAGCTGGGGAGTGCTGTCGTGAAAGACAGAGCCCTGAGCATAGACACGCGGTCCCTGGCTCCTGTCTCAGAGACCCAGGGGTCCCATGATGCTGCGCCTAAGTTTGGGGACAAAACAAGCTTTGGCTCTGATTTTTATGGCCTTTCCCCAGTTGTCCTCGGTTTTGCTCTGTTTACGGCTGTGCTGGGCTGTGATCCCCTTGCAGCCGGATACCATGCTATGGGTGAGCCTCGCGTCCCTGGCCACCCCGAGGCCCGTTAGTGTTCACAGTGACCATCTCTGGGGGATAAGATGTCTCTTGTTAGGGCTGCATTTTTAGGGTTTATAAACTACATGTCTCTGTGGTTTTTTCTATGGTCATCTGAACACTAACCCAAATGGAATGTGTGTGTCTTGAGGACAAAAAGCCACATTCTTGTCTGGCGTCGCTGCCGTTCCCAGCTGCCGTGATGGGAAGAGACTAACCACCCCGTGGACGCGCTTCCCTCCTCCGTCAGTGAGCACCTTCCTAATCCGGATTTCTCGGATGGGGAGTCTGAGTCTTGGGATACAACTCCTGTCTTTCCTTTCCTGGCCTACACTGTCACTTTCTGAGGTGAAACTCACCTAAAACACACCAGGTGAGTGTGCAATTCGGTGGCTTTTAGTACATTCAGTCTTGGGAGCCGCCGATCGCCCAGCTCCGGAAGGGTCTCACCGCCCAGGAGGCAGACCTTCCCCGCCTCTACCCTCGCCTCTGTCTCCATGGCTGTGAGTCCTACCAACGTCCCTGTTCTCCATTTTTTGGGGCTCACATGTTGGCTCTCAGGGTAATTTTGTGTTCAAGTTTCGAGGTGCAGCTGCACTGTCCCCCCGTGGTCGCACCATCTTCCACTCCCTGGCAATGCACAGGGCCCATCTCTCAGCACCCTCCCAGCACTTGTCATTTTCTCTTTTTTGGTCACAGCCAGCCTAGTGGGTTCCAAGGTGGTGTCACTTCTGAACAGCTCGTCCGAGCTCTGATGGGTGGGACATTCCACAGAATCATATCTAGCATCTGCTCCGAGGAAGGGCCAGGTGTGGCACGCGGAGATTGCCAATTAGACCCTCAGCCTCCGGGCAGGGGCAGTATAGATTTCACATTGTTGGGATTCAACAGGCATTTCCCTCACGGCCCAAGGACCTGCCAGGCGCACCCCTGGGACATCCTGCCCATCGTGGAAACCGAGTGTTTTGTGAAGAGCAGCCGGAGAGAGCAGGAGAGGGTCCCCTGCTAATCACCACCACCATCTCAGAAAGTCCCGATCAGAAGAGTTATTCCATCTCTGCCTTTCCCGTTGTGGTAAGTGACGTTAAAATAAAAGTTGCCCCACAGAGAGAAGGGGTCTGGTTTCAGTGTCTTCACATGAATCCCAAAGCTGCTCAGTTTCTAAAGGCTGGCCGGTCCGCCGGGAATGTTCCTGATGAAAATATTTCCACCAAGTGTCCCATCATGGGACGGTCTGGCCAGCAGAGACGGATTGTGAAAATGTCGCCTCCTTGCGTCTCTCTGGGGTGAAGCACCGCATTGGCTTTAAAGATGGCTGTCAGGGCCACCTCACGGCCTGGAGGTTAAAGAGCCAGACATGGCGTGTGGCCGAATGCACAGCTGGGGTCTCGGACCCGGAGGCTGGGGAGAGATATCAGGCACATCTGTGTGCATGCCCGCAGTCCCTGAAGACGGGGCAGATGGAGAGGCTGGCGTGGCCATGCCCCACAGGGGTGCTTTCCTCCTCCTGTCTCTCCCCAGTGAGAGCACGCTTCCTCTAGCTAAAAAACCCCACGCTGTCCCCATGGTAACACGTGTGCTGGACGTGTGCTCCGGGAGAAGAGGGGAAGAGTTCGGCGGGAACCCGGTCCGGATCTGGACGCCGCGCCTTCGCTCTGGGCCTGCAGCACCCCGCACCACTCCTCGCGCGTCACCTGGAGGGTTGGAGTGCAGTCTCAGGCCCGCTCCCAGCCCCGAGTCTGCATTTCACATGATCCCCAGGAAATTCCTTTGGCTTTGCAGGTCGAGAGTCGCTGCAGGATACCACGCGGCCTCCCTTCCTGGCATTCTTGAGGAGACCGGTATCTTTTGAGAAATCTAACCATGTGGTGGGCGCCCAGAGGGAAGGTCTGGCTTACTGGGTCCCACGGGGAATGGTGCATTGATGTTGGCTAAATATTATTTCTGATCAGGTTTTCTCCATCTTTGCGTCAGTGGTGTCTCCGAGACAGGGTACACTTGACCCTTTCGGGATGGAGGCTGGCACCTCGCCGTTCCCTTTTTGCAGTCTGTGCGGGAGTACTCCCGGGGTGCCACAGCCTGCACAGGCAGAGAACAAGCAGACTGGAACCCACACTCTTGTGGACGGTGCACTCAGCCCCGACCCGCCAAGTCCTCGCACCTTTGGGAATCTCGCATCTGGACGAAGGGGTTACAAGCGGCAGGCGTGTGCAACCCGGAGGCTCTGCAGGCTCGGTCCCAGAACAAAGGCGGAGAGACTCAGGATTACCCAGGGCCCTAAGAAGGCTCCCCTGGCCTGCAAACCACTCCCGCAGAGTCTGGTTCCATTCGTAGTGAGATACGGCTCAGGCCAGGGAGTGGAGAACGCCCACTGGTCAGAGGTGAGGCTGTTTCCGGGGATAGCCGCCCTTCCATTGCACATCAGCGATGCTCATCTACCGTGGCATTCTCGGTGGCCTGAACAAGCTGCTCATGATGACCGGCCCATGTCTGAATGGCAGGAACCCCCTTTCCTTCCTGAGCCGGTCTTCCTGCCTCACCTTCCAAGTGCGCCGGCGCCCCCACACAGCGTCTCCTCTCTAGACCCCGGGGGCCCCTCCCTTCCTGCTCAGGCCACACTGTGCTCCAGCCCGGCCGGGCCACCCTGTCCTTGGTTCCTGCTGTTCGTTGG